GTTCTCACCTCGCCGTGTACGCCATACTGCTCTGGCTGCTGCTCATTGCATTTCTTCAAAATCATGCCTTTTTGCGCTTAAATTTGTTCGCAACGAAACGTAGGGTTAACTTGGCACGAACGTTTGCACAAAAACATGCTAAATTTTGTTGTTTTTTATTTGCTTTGCAAAGGTGTCGACTGTGCAAAATTAATTTTGTGCGGCGCTTTTCGTTTTCCAGCATCTGCACTATTTCAAAATGCCATGTACTCTCGGAAAATACGATAAAAACTATCACCTATCACTAGCAAAATGATCGAATTATGTGATATTTGTCAACTGATTTGCACACGGCACGTTGCTCAGGCAGGGGTGGGGGTGGGGGTCGCGAGGCGCGTACCGTGTGAGAGGCCCGCGGCGCCCGGCAGAGAGCAGCACCCGCTGGACAGCAGGCGGGGTGGACGACTGGGCAGTCGCGGGGCGGGGTGGGGTGGGGCGAGGCACAGATCATAGACCGGCGTGTCAGGAGCAGCGAGTCGTCGTCCCTGCGGTCCCCGCACCCCCCGAGACCGTCGTTTTGATTTTCGGTCCCTTTGGCTGCGAGGACGACCCGTTTATTATTTCATCCTTTTCCAGCCCCCCCCCCCCCCCCATCCCCTCGGCGCCACGTGTGTGACAGTTTGAAATCTTCCCCATTCCGGGCCGTGGTCAATTTTCTTCCCCGATAATGATTGTAATCGCGTTAGCCCGACCCCTTCCCTGCCCCCACCCTCCGGCCGCGGCGTGGGGCCTCCGGGAGCGTTGAGTCAAGTGAGCATTGGTTGAATTCGCTCCTTTTTCCAACCCCCACACCGTCACCGACCCACAGTCCGAGGTCCGAGGTAGCCTCAGGGGGAAACCCAAAAAGTGTTTAGTTTTCTTTTCTTTTTTTCATTCTTGGGGTAGAACGGCAGAACGTTTTGCTTTTCCGTACGTCTCGGCGGATTACGCATTTTCGTTCGGTACGAAGTTTTTTCTCTCTAGTTGGCTCGGTCCTCAGGCTAAGTTTGGTTGTCACGGGGTGGTTTATAGGCGTCCGTGAGCTTCCCAATCGAGTTAGCGGGCATGTCCTTTCCTGGCCATTGCCGATCCGTTCATCTTCCCTCGTCACCCCCGACCCACCCTTACCTCTCGACACAAAGTTGCAAGATGGGAAATCAGTTTTTTTTACCTCCCTTCGCCATCACTCCCTTCCCCGCCCCTCCACCACCCTTGAGCGTGCGGACGCCTATTAGGCGGCTTCATCTTCTGCGAAATGAGGTGCTCCGGCCTTTCACTTGCCCCGCCACGCCCCGCCACGCCCCGCCACGCCCCGCCAAGCCCCGCCGCGCTCTGATTTGCCAATCAAGTCATCCGATGCGAGATCATTTTTACACCTTATTTCGGAAATGAGTGCGGCTGGGTGGTCGGTCTCCCTCGCCCCATCTCATCGTGCCTTTAGAACAAAAAGAAAAAAAACGCACCTCCCTTCTCTTTTACTTTTCCCTTTCCTTGGCGAGGGGCGCTGCTGACACAACTTTTATGAGCTCGTTTGGATCGGGCCGGCCCTCGGCCGGGACACCTGTAGCGGGGCGCCCGCCCGATCGCCGCCGCCTCGCCCGCACGCACGGGAGTTTGTGGAAGCCTATTTTTATTACACTGCTGGTCCCTCCTCCCTTTGCCCCCGTCCCCCTGATTACCGTCCCGGCAGCTGATGCTCGTCCAGATCTGGACCGGAATCTTTACACCGCACGGAGCAGTCGCCGTGGCCTGGAGACACTGTCAAAAATGTCCTCGTAATCAGGATGTGTAGAGAGGGTTTTCTACATCGTGGTCTTTTTTTTTTCTTTTACAAAAAATATGTTATAAATTTTGCGACCGATCTTTTTTTGCTTGTCGATTGATTTCACATTAAAACGAAGCGCGCTTGTAAATTTACAATTTCAGATTGTAATTTTACGACACAGAATTTTCACGTTAACCTACAACCGTTCTGTGCAGTGGAGGGGGACGAGGGGGGAGGAGGGTGGTCTCATTGCCGTCAATAAACCATTTTAAAACCCCAAGTTTAATCCCGCTAGCGCAAGGGAAGTGGACAAGGCATCACGTGACTTCCCGGGCGATTTTTGTTGTGATGGAAAAGGGGAAAAGTTCAGTTATAGTGGCAGCAGCGTTTCAAGAAGATTTACGCGCGTTTGGTTTTGACCGGTAGATATGACGCCAACTTATTTCCTCTCATTACGTTTTCTGCTCCGGCGAGCTCGAGGCACAAAGTCTTGCGCAAGCTTTCTGTCAGTCCAGTGCAGGTGGTGGCTGTTAGACGTGCCTTCAGATAAGGGCGGGAGCGCGTGACGGCCCCACCCCCGGGGCGGGGCGGGGCGGGGCGGGGCGCCAGGTAGCGTCCAGCGGCGGAAGACGACGCGCTCCGGCTGACTACATTCTAATTACGCCCGTGTGGCTCAGCCCCGGGCCGGGGGATACAAGGAGAATGAAAATATAATAATGAAAAAGAAGAAAAAAAAGTAGGGGAAAAGGAAAATAAAAAGGGAGAGCAGTGTCTGAAATAAAATGACGCCACACAAATTTTAATTACCCGAGCTGGCTTGGCCCCACTTGTACGTGCGGTGCGTGGGTGTGTATGCATGTGTGTGTGTGTGTGAACGCGCGCGTGCGCGCCAGCGAACGACAATCCTTACAGGAACAGGGTCGTCGCTCGCCCTGTCTGTTTTGCGTATGCTCTTTTGTCTCTTTTTCGAGTGCGATGGACGCCGACATACCGCGACAGGGTTCGTCGTACGTATAGGAGGGATCCATCGTACCACTTTACCTTTCTTCGATGTGGTCGTTTGGTTGGTGATCGTCGATTGTTTCGGGCCACGCTGCCCCGGCACGGCGAATGTTCTGCAAAATGATGATAATAATACATGAGGTGGGATCCCGGTCGGCTTCACTTTTGAACAGTAATTAGCGCGTGCGCTATAAGATAGGGATCAGATACGCATGCATGCGTTAGTGGCTCCGGGGGGGCCTGTGTCATGCGCAGGGGCGGCGCGTCCTCGAATGAGAATGACGCCCTCGCCCGCCGCCGCCGTAGCTGCCGGACCGTGCAGCTTCACCCCGGCTCATGCGAGAGTGTATGTATGTGTGTGTGGCGTGCGTGAGCGCGTGCGTCCGCCGGTCCGGCCGTCCGTGCGTCCGTAGGGGTCGCCATCACTTCCAGACATTATATTTTGGTCGCCTGGCCATCTCTCTTTTGTTTCCCTGCGGTCGCGCGGACCCACGGGGACGCTACAGTACCCGCCCGCGGGGGCTGCGGGGGCGGAGACGGGTCAAGGGTGGCGAGCCGGGTCGACGGGGACCCTCTCCATTTATATGAACTCGCCGGGCGATTTATCTGTTCTTTACAGCGCATCGGGTATCCACGTTATTCGCTCTATCCTTTTCATTCTTTGTCCCTGCTTTTGCTCGCTCGCCCTCTCCTCCCTGTTCTTTCTTCCCGGTAGGTGCGCTGCTCTGCTAAGCCCCGTGTTGTCCCACTCCCACCCTCATAAAAGTTGACTTAGAGAGTATCCCCGTAATGTTCAACCAGCCCCCCCCCCTCCCACCCACACACACTCTGGCACATGTCCGTGCATATTGCTTACGGGGTCCTGCTCCTGCATGACCGCTACCTGCTACCTAACGTTCTCATATGTAAGTGTCCGTAGCGCCCTTGGTAATGATGAAAGAACATCGAAGTAATGTGGATTTTACTAGACTAATGTGTGTCAATTCGTACATCTTCCTGCACAGTAACAAATGACACAAGATTCTAATAATCGTTTATCAAAACTATAAGATGCTGAAATCTAAATGAATGGGTGCATGAGTCGTATATGGGCAAAGGCGTGGCGACTATCTGCATGGCAGCAGAGCAGAAACTCGATTACGTTGATCCCCGTCGACGGGGGTGATCGGGAGTGCGTGCTGTGCGACTGGCGGACACCATGACTCGTCTCTCTGTCTCTCTCTCTCACTCATGAGCCCAGGATGTCACTTCCCGCCCAAACGATCAGCTGTGGCCGGCGGCACCGCGGAGGGGTGGGGTAGTCGCAGGGGTGCGAGGGAGGAGGCGGGCGGCCGGACTGGCCGACCCGGTCACTGCCGCCGTTTCTATTCATTCGTTTGTTTGCCGTCCTGCTTTGCATATTAAGTATTTATAAAAATGGATTTCGGCCGTTTCGTGCATCTGCGTACGTGTGTGTGTGGGTGCGTATGCCCTTTTTACTCCCTTTTTCAATGCGGATGGCAGAGGAGGGAGGAGCAGGGGGAAAAAAAGGCCACTCACGTTTCGCATGTTATGTCTTGGACCCTTTTGCCTACCATTGTGATTGGTTGACACTCTACATATTTCCGTCTCTCCCTCTCCCTC